GAATATTCGACTGGCCTTAATCGATGAAAGAAAACTATGGATTAATAAAGGGTAAGTGGGATATCCCATTTAAGGAAGTATTATATATCACAATCCATCATAGTTCCATCTTATTGTGCCCAAAACACCAACTTATCCACGCAGATCACAATTGAACACCTTAAAAAAAATTCTACTATAGAAAGGTAATTGAGGGGAAAAATAAAAAATAAAATTAAAAAAAAATGTAATTTGCAGAAGAACACCTTTAAAAAATTGCTATTGTAGGAAGGTAATTGAAGGCGAAATAAAATATAAAAGAAAAATAAACATTGCAATTTGCAGAAGAACTTTTCAATCTCAAGTCTTTCATTCAAATACACACTTGCAATACAATCCATAATCTTTTTACCTATGTTCTAAAACTCTAGTCCACTGGGTCTAGGTGCTAGGCAGTATCCAAACGCCGTGACTTTTGCCTTGACAAATGTTCTAGACGTTTGGACAATTAGGCGTGTCTAGGCGGACTAAGTGGTTGAGAAGTTACTCGCGCAAAGGTTGATAGGCGGCGCCTATATATTTCTTTTTAAAAGTTTTATTTTATATTTTAGAAAAATATAAAGAATATATTTTTATTTTTATATTAATTGTATAAAATAATAATAATAATTGTTTAATTATATTGATTAATATAAATTATATAATATATTTTAAAAATTATGCATGATTATAAATATAACTAAATTTCTTAATATTTTTCCGATCTCACCTAAGTGCTGACGAACCCCTACATGCTAGGCCCTAGTCCACGGCTTAGTAATTGCGTAATAACTTTTAGAAATTGCTTTTAACTATTTTTCACCCAACCAATATTGAGAAGGAAAAATAAAAAAGGAAATGAAATGGTAAAGGATAATCCAAAAAAACACCCTCTGTAAATCCTTCCTATTGACTAAGGGTGTATTAGTTTGGGATTTCGAGGGACATTTTAAAACTTTTTAAGTTTTGGAGGAATCATGCAAATATTGGGGGTGATATGGGATATTATATAATAGACCAGTTCGTCAGGACAGCCGACTAAAGTAGACCAACGGCTTGGTCGAATCGGACCGAGAATCCGCAATGAAGGAAAGGAGGAAGGTAACAGAGAAAAGTAAGTTTGGCGACCTCAGACAAGTACCAGAGGCTCGAGGAAGAACGATCAGATGAGCGTAGTCGTGGACTCGACCACCTCACACTTCAGGGGCAGCTTGGCATTCGCTGGAGACCCGGTCGAACATCAGGGTAAACAAGAGAATCTCCAGCACGTGGAGAGAGGACACGTGGCGCACAACGAGTGGTCCAGGGCGATAACGGTTTCTGACATTCCCTGACACACTGCGACGCGTTTTCTGACACCAGGATAGTGGAGGCGCGCGATCGTACGGACGAGCAGCTATCAGCTGGACTCGCCCAAGTCGCGCGTGGAGAACAGGTAACTCGTCCCTATAAATAGGGGCGAGAACTCCCATTTTACACACAACCTCTCTTACTCTTACACACTTACACACATACTTTCATCTCTCAAGATCTGACTTGAGCGTTGGAGGCTCTTCACCGGAAAACACCTCCGGTGTGAGAGTTACGTGCAGGTTCCGCGTTCTACTGCCGAGGAGGGCGAGCTCGAGATGATTTGCAGCCGTTCGGGGTGCGAGACTTGTATTAGGGGGTGTATTCAATTATGATTTCTAAGCACTTTTTAAGATTTAGAAATCCCGGTGTATTCAATTTAGATTTGTTAAAATTTTTTAAGACATTTAAAAATAATGGGGTATTCAGATTTTAAAAAGTTTTACAAAATCCTGAGGTATTTAATTTATTTGACACTAGGATTTGTTAAGACTTTTTAAGATTTGGTGGGATTTCTAAACAGAAAATCTTATACGAAATCCCACCTAGACTTAAGATTTCACAAAATTCCTCCAAAATATGTAAATCTTAAAAAAGTCTTAGGGGGGTGTATTCAATTGAGAATTTAAATGATATTTTAAGACTTTCTAAGATTGGAACTTTTTAAAATTTTTAGATTTTGGAGGAATGCTGTGAAATCTTAGGGGGGAGTATTCAATTGGTAATTTCAGTGACATTTTAAGACTTTTTAAGATTTGAGACTTTCTAGTTAATTAATTAAAGTAAAAGTTAATTAATTTTTAAATAATCGCATTATTATTTTGATTTAAGATTATTTATATTCGGCACATTTGCTATAGTTAAAATAAATTACTAAACTCGTTCAAGATAGTATGAATTCTATGAAATCTTAACTCTGGAGGTAGGATTTGAAGTGAGAATTCGTATAAGGTTTCTTGTTTAGAAATCCCACCAAATATTAAAAAGTCTTAATAAATCATAGTGTCAACTAAATAAATACCTCAGGATTTTGTAAGACTTTTGAAAATCTCAATTGAATACCCCAAGATTTTTAAAAGTCTTAACAAATCTAAATTGAATACACCAAAATTTCTAAAGTCTTAAAAAGTCTTTAAAAATTCTAATTTAATACACTCCTCTTAAGTTTGTAGGTAGGATTTGAAGTGAGATTTCGTCTAAGATTTTTTGTTTAGAAATTCCACATAATTTTAAAAAGTCTTAACAAATCCTAATGTCAAAAAAAAAAAAAAAAAAACAAATAAATAACACATGAATTTGTAAGACTTTTTAAAATCCCAATTGATACCCCAGGATTTTTCAAAGTCTTAAAAAGTTTTAACAAATTTAAATTGAATACACCAGGAGCTTGCTTGTTTATGGATTAATTTACTCACTTTTATTTCAACTCAAAATTTAACTCAACTTTAACTCAACCCACTATCTTTAATATTATTCATATAATTAAATAATATAAACCAATCATTCTTACACATCACATCAACTTTATTTCACTATTTATCCACTCACATATTTTTAACTACATATCATTTCCAATAATTTCTAATCATTTATCTCTTATTTTTACATCTAATCAATTTTAATTATTTTATTTTAAATATTATTTTAATACGTTCTTAAAATTCCACTAACAACTAATCATACTACATTTTCAAAATTAACTATGGTTAACTAAAATAACGAATTTTGAACAAGTTATTTCATAAACAATCAAGCCCCAGGATTTCTGAATTCTTAAAAATTTCTTAGAAAACTCAATTAAATACACTTACATTAATGTCACTTAAAATTCTAATTCGGACGTGAGAATTTTAGTGGGATTTTAACAATAGAAATCTCAACGAATTTTATAAAGCCTTAAATCCTATTCTCAAATAAGTAAAAAATATCTCATGATTTTGTAAGACTTTTTAAAATTCGGAATACCTCAAAAATTTTAAAAGTCTTAACAAGTCTAAATTCAATAAATTAGAATTTTTAAAGTTTTAAATTTTTTTTAGAAATCCAATTGAATACACTCCCTTAATAATTTAGTGATATTAATCAAATTTTGCCAATAATTGAATTGAATAAAAATTAGTAAATTATTCCGAGTTAATGATTTCGTGATAATAATCGAATTTTACCAATAATTGAATTGAATAAAAATTAGTAAAATTATTCCGAGTTTTTGTTCATCGTTCTGAATAATCGTATGTTTTTTTTTTTTTTTCGTAGAAAGAAAATGAATATAATTTTGTCACAATAAGTTTGTAGAATTTTTGCAGCTTCACCCGGCTGTGTGCTGTCTTTCGTAATTGAAGTATCAAACGAAAGGAAGTATTTGACATTTCCTGTAAATTCATAGCTCTTTTTGTAATTTTATTATTTATTTTATTTTATTTTATTTTTTTGCTTCCTGCTTTTCTGTAGCCGTGTAATAAAGAACGCCATTGCCAATTCTCTTTTGCAAGCGTCTTCTCTCTAACCCTACCTTTTCGTGTCTGTTCTCTTCTTTTGCCTGTATTTCATCTCTCTTTAATTCCTGTGGAAAATGTCGTTGTGGAATTAGAATTGATCTTAACCTCTACAGAACGAGGTAAAGTGATTTGCTCGTTTTGTGTGTGTGTGTGTGTGTGTGTGTGCTTCCTGAGGAATTGAGTGGGATTTCGGTTTGTTTCAGATCTGGTAATGCTGTAAATTGACGTGCTTGCTGATGACAGAAAGATGAATCTGGCCTGAATTGTGCCGGAGTTCGATCGGGATTCGAAGAGTTTGCTTGAGCGCATGGACATGGACATGGACGGGAGTGTAAGATCAGGAGGCGTTTTGAAGAAGAAGAGTTCATCAGGGTGTTTGATCATCAAAAAGAAGGTTGAAAACGGGAGTTATGGAGTTGGGGGTTCAAACATCAATGGTAAGGAGAAAAAGAGACCCAGGTTAGTTCCGAGTGATTCTGATGTGAGTGATGAGGACGAGGCATTAGAGTTTATGAGAAGGAAAGTCGATGACAAGAGACTGTATGAAGGTCCGGTGGGGTACGACAGAAGTGATCTCGGGTACAGGAAGCTTGTTGGGATGAATGTTGATGGTGAGAGGAAGAGGAGTAGGTCGAATTTGTACGGATTTGATGACTGCAGTGAGGTTGATGGGCAAAGGATGAGGGGCGAGTATGTGGAGAACAGGCTAAGGATTGCTGAGCATAGTGGTGGTGAAAATTCAAAGGATTTTGGTGTTGGATCATCGCATAGGAATTTGAATGTTGACAAAAGGAAGAAAAATTCCTATATTGACGGTCCTAGTGGTGGGAGGAGGAGTAATGTGGGTGATTATGTTGGGTTTAGAAATAAAGGATCCGACATGGAGGACGATGAAGCACATATGCCAGTTTCATTGGCAAGGGCAAAGTATCAAGAAACATCTGATCAGCCAATCAGGCTACAGGGGAAGAATGGGGTGCTGAAGGTTATGGTGAATAAGAAGAAAAATATGGATTTACATCCTCATTATAGGAAATTTGACCACAGGAAAGTGGAAGAAAGTGGTTTACATCCTCACAATAGGAAATACAGTCCTAGGGAACATGAAGAACGACCTGGTCCTAAGTCGAGAGATGTTCTAAAGAAAGAATTATCACCAGCATTGCCAGTTTATGTGAAGCCACCCGAACACCGAGGCTTGTCGGTGGAGAAGGAGAAGATGTGGGTGAAATTGGAAAAAGTAAAACCTGTTTTAGGTAAAAACGTCAATGGTAGAGAGTCAGAAGTCGGTACAATGGTACGGGGCAGCAAGGATAGAGAAATGGAAAGAGTAGTTACTGATACAACACTTCAGCTTGGACCACTAGTCCCAAAATCTTGTAGCTCAAAGAAAGGGATGGAAAAGGAGGAAGAAAGAACACCTCCTGAAAATCTCCACCCCATTACAGGGAAAGAACGAAAAGGGAAAGAAACTAAAGAAGTGAAGGCAAAGCGAGGTGGAAGTACTGAAAAGCAAATCTTGCGAGAGAAGATTAGAGGTATGCTGCTTGATAATGGGTGGACTATTGACTATAGGCCAAGGCGGAATAGAGACTACTTAGATGCTGTTTATATAAATCCTAGTGGAACAGCGTACTGGTCAATTATTAAGGCTCATGAAGCTCTAAAAAAGCAGCTGGGTGAAGACGTAGCTAAAGCAAAATTGGACGTTGGTTCTCCCTCGTTTGCTCCTCTATCAGAAGATCTGATAAATAAACTCACCAGACAGACCAAAAAGAAGATTGAAGCAGAAATGAAAAGGAAGATAAAAGAAGATGGAAAAGCTCAGAGGGCCAAGAAATCTGAAGTGGGAGATTCCGAAGAGAGCTTGGATAGTGGTCAGAATGAAGAGAATTTCGGTTCATATGTGAAACAGAACAATAAGAAACGGAAAGGTAAATTGCTTGAGGTGGATAAAGAGAGAGGTGGTCTTGAGTCAAGTGATGACTCGCGCAAGAGGAAGCCCAACAAAGTCAAAGATGGAAAATCTTACAGTGCTTCAAATTCTAATGTCTTACAAGGAAGAACGAGTAAAGTGATCGGGAGATGCACTCTTCTTGTTCGTGGTTCTGATAGAGGGGATAACTCAGAGTCTGATGGATACATTCCCTACAGTGGGAAAAGAACTGTATTGGCGTGGCTGATCGACTCTGGAACAGCACACTTAAGTGAAAAAGTGCAGTACATGAACCGCAAGAGAACTCGGGTAATGCTGGAAGGTTGGATCACTAGAGATGGAATCCACTGTGGTTGCTGCAGTAAAATTCTTACTGTTTCAAAATTTGAGCTGCACGCTGGCAGCAAGTTGCGACAGCCTTTCCAGAATATATTTGTGGAATCTGGGGCTTCCCTTATGCAGTGTCAAATTGATGCCTGGAATAAGCAGGGGGAGTCTATGCCTAGGGATTTCTGTACTGTTGATGTTGATGGCGATGATCCGGATGATGATACCTGTGGTCTTTGTGGTGATGGAGGTGCTTTAATCTGTTGTGATAGTTGTCCATCAACTTTCCATCTCATCTGTTTAGGAATACAGGTGCGTATTTGATGGCGTCTGTCACAATTTTTTGTACTATGCTGTTTTATGTTTTTTTTTTTAAAAAAAAAAAAACAATACATGTACTTTAGTTTGGTGTTGCGAGTTTCCATTGTATATTATAAGGTAGCTATAAGTTATGTTTCCCGACTTACATGGTTCATCACAACTATTTTGGCCATTAATTGTTGTCAAGCACACTTTTAGTTATCCTTTTGTTCCCAGGTAGTGCTAGAAGGCACAGTACAAAGTTATACATAACCACCCCCCGTAACTCATATTATGACAGAAGAATAATATTGAGCAGATGGTATAGAAATACTATTTCATAGTTACTGATGATAGATTGTGTCATGCTTAATGAATCAGGTCTCTGTAGAAAGCGTGTGTATTCTCATTTTTTTTTTTTTTGAATGGTTGAACACTTCATTTGCCCCGACCTCCATTGCAGGTGCTTCCTATAGGTGATTGGCACTGTCCGAATTGTGTATGCAAATTCTGTGGCGATGCTAGTGGAATTTCTGCTGAAGGAAATGATGGCATTGCTGATGATCTTACTAGATGCAGCTTCTGTGAGAAAAAATGTAACTTCTTTCATGGCTTTGGAATTATGTGCAACTTTATTCTCACATCTAATTTTTCACTTCATAAAGGATATGCACACTTTATGTTGTAATGTGTGTGTGTTTGTAATCCTTCACAGAGAAGCTGAAACCAATTCTTTTGTTTGTTTAGATCACAAATCGTGCAATGTAGAAGTTCATGATCTCCCAATGAGTTCAAGTTTCTGTGGGCTGAAGTGCCATGAGGTAATTTATTCTTGGCGTTAATTGCTAAATAAATGAGATTGTGGTATTATATTTCTTGCATCTTATGCCAACGAAGCAATTAAGAAACTACTTTCCATATATTTAAAATACGCAGGGTAAAGACTGAATAGTGGTGCTATGTTTGCTCTAATACAAGTGGAAATAATAAAAATCCCAAACAAGGTCGAAGAACTGAAAGCCCATTGTATCCAAACAAGTTCAATGATTTGTTGTTATCCATTTGAGATTGTTAATGTCAAAACCATCTATTCAAATGAAGCTAGATTCCTTACTTTCATTTCAATATTGCTGTTTTCCTTGTTCTATTTTATTTTGCGGCTCCATGATAAAATTTCATTTTGCTTCTCCAGCTCTATGATCATCTACGGAAGATTCTTGGTGTGAAACATGAATTGGATGATGGATTTTCATGGTCTTTTATTCAACAAGCAGACGTGTCTAATAACTCGCATCGCGGATTTCCTCAAATGGTGGAGTGCAACTCCAAGCTAGCTGTTGCATTATCTGTTATGGATGAGTGTTTTTTGCCCGTTATTGACCGGAGAAGTGGGATTAATATACTTCATAATGTTGTCTATAGCTGTGGGTAAGTTGTTATTTACCCGGCTAAAGCATATACCAACATATATTTGTAATTTTGTTTGTTCCAGCTTCATTTACTGCTACACTATACTGCACAAAAATGCTGGGAAATGATACAATGCGATGTGCAGAATGCATCAGAATGGGTACGACTGTTAACCAAAAATAAAGAAAAAAAAAAAACTATTATTGAGTTGGATTTTGATCTTTTATTTTTGAGGTCATCAGATTCTTGGACACCAAAAGAAGGTTACAGCTGTAGTATTTTTAGGATCTTGAATATATTTTGTCCTACACAGACCTTGCAAAATTGAATCTTTGATTTGTAGATGTATTCATATTATTTCCTGCAAGCACGGTTTTGTGCATTACCAAAGTAGGGCCTTGGAGAAGGTAAGTCAGATGCAATGAGTTGGGTGTATTTGGACCTGATCATTTCATGGCTTATGAAGTTTTATCTCTGAGTTTAATTTGTACTAAACAAGAATCGTGTACTGCTTATAGTTAAAAATAGAAAAGGTGATAGGTTCTTATATATCAGCATAGGCGTGGTTTAGAAAATTGGACATTCTAATTTCTAGAAAGAAAATGTGAATTTATTGGGTCGAGATTCAGAACATATACGGATCCAGATCTAAGTATGATATTACTGGTGTTGTATGCCCTGAATTTATTGGGTCGAGATTCAGAACATATACGGATCCAGATCTAAGTATGATATTACTGGTGTTGTATGCCCTAAATATTTCCACATATCTCGCATGCACATGAACTTTAGTACTTATTCTTTAGAAAATATGATCAACCTATGATTTGTCTGGCAGAGCAAATTTCAACCGCCTGAATTATAGTGGATTCTATACAGCAATTTTGGAGCGGGGTGATGAAATAGTTTGTGCGGCTTCTATAAGGTAATAAATTGATGTTTCACATTGTCAACCTGAATTGCATTATAGGGATAATGATTCTTAATTTTCTTATGATTGGAAGAGTTTGAGTTGCATAAACACGTCTGAGATAGCTTCTCCAAGTTAACTCAGTTCTTAAACTTCCAAATGTGTGTTTCTAGAAGACATTAGAAGTATAGTTTATGAGAGAAGAATAACTTTACCTTGCTTGCTGGTGGGAAATACCTAGGTTTTACCTACGGTTGTTACAATAACCAATTTCTGTATTTTTGCCCAAATATTATTTACTTTGACCTTGTTAATAGTTGAAGATCTTAAAAGAATTTTTTTTTTTTTTTAATTTTCATAGTCATTTTCTTCCTTTCCCATTATTAAGCTTTTATCAAACTACTGTCCAGGTCTCAAAAACATTCATCTACTCCTGGACATATTAGGGACTAACTAATTAATATTAAACACGAAATGTAAATGGGTGAAATTAGTCTGGGTTCTTTACTCCAGAACGTACCCCTTTTAATCATTATCTTTAGCAGATTTCTGCACATTAATGTTTTCTGTTGATTTTAGCTTTATCATTCAGGAAAATTCTTATACAATAATTTCACTCTTTATTTTCTAATATTAACTTATATATCTCTGCATATATGCCTGTACATTTTGTTTATAAAAGTTGGTTGTTAATGGTTATGCTGCTGTTAGCGGTTCTGATGAAAAGGAAAAACCAACCCACATCATTGTTTTTTTCATTTACTAATCAGGATTCATGGAACGTGTCTCGCTGAGATGCCATTTATTGGAACTCGTGGAATCTATAGGCGGCAAGGAATGTGCCGGCGCCTTCTATCTGCAATTGAAACAGTAAGAATATTGGAGTGGAGTTGATCAGTTTTTATGCTTGTTAGGTTGCATGAGTACTGTAATTTTCAGGCATCAGGTCATCAATTTCTGGTCAATTCTATAAGTATGAGGTCAGAGAAAATGACATCTGATTATGCAAAGACATTGTATTCAGATGTACTGGTGTCATGACTTACCGACTGTTTTCCTGTGTTTTTAATTTAATTGCCTCCCCTTTTTGTGATCAGTGATAGACAATACACATTAATCTTGTTTTGTGATTCCAGGAGCTTCGGTCTCTCAAAGTGGAGAAACTAATTATTCCTGCAATATCGGAGCACAGGAACACATGGACAACAGTTTTTGGTTTTCACCCGATTGATGATGGGCTTAAGAAAGAAATAAAATCTATTAATATGTTGGTGTTTCCTGAGACGGATATGTTGCAAAAGCGGTTGGTCAATCAAGAAATTTCTTATGGTAACAAAATTCTCGGATACTGTAATTTTTTCATATCATTTCCTTTTTCGCCCTTGAGGAGATTGTTTGAACTGACAGGAATATCTGTGCACAGCTATAAAGATGAGATTGACAGTTTTTGGCTGGAAAAAAAAAATCAAATTTTTTGGTGTTTTCAAAACTTTTGGTTCTGATTTTGACGACTTCACACATTTTTACACCTTACGAGAAACTCCGTAGTGATTTAATTTTTAGCTTCTATTTGCTCTATGCTTTGTTCCTTTTGTTTTCGGTACAATAATATTTCCATCCAGAAGCAGAGAATACAAAGACTTTTTTTTAATAACTCTAAATTGTGCTATCCCTACTTCTAAATTCTCCTTTCTTTCGACTATAGGGACGAAGCTTTCTGAAACAATACAGAAACAAGCTTGGTCATCACCTGCTTTTGTTGAAAAACCTGAAATCAACTCATTTATGGAGGAGCGGAAACCTTTGTCATCTGTTTTCGTTGGAAAATCTGATATTGACTCATCTGTGGAGCAGAATAACCATACGACCAAAGATCCTTATGATAGTTCAGCCGGTAGTGCTTCAGATTCTCCTTGTGAATCTGATATAGATCTTGCCAGCAAGAGAAAGTTTGCGGTGGAAAACGAACAGAAAGAATGCTCTACTATTGCTGAAATAAGAAACGTGCCTGGCATAAGAAATGGATTTCCGCACAAAATTCAAACTGGACCAGAGGACGATGAAAACCAGAAACCTTTGACTTCAGATAGTGCTGAATTTGCAAATGTTCATGATGTTGAACAAATCATTGAGATTAACGAATCTTCTTGTTTTCCTAGTCTTCCTGATGGTGAAGTATGTGCAACAAACTGTAATGCTGAGGTGGAATATGAGGCTGTAGGCCAGTTACAAAATGACTTTATTACCCATGGCAACGTACCGGATGAGGCTGTTGATCCTGGAGAACTGAAAAAATCTGATTTTGAAATAGTGGTAGCTGAAAAAGCTGCCTCGACTTTTTCGTAAGCTTTGGCTCGAACGTATGGTCATAATTCCTATTTATTCTTTTTCTGTATGCGGTTTTTGAATCTGAGTTTTTGGGTCACTAATAAGGTGTTGGGGCTAGATTATTGTGGTGGACATGACAAATTTTGAGGTTCTTGTCGGGGGTGATGCAGAGAATTTTCCGCTCCACGCGACAGGTTATTGGCGCACAAAAGTGACCAGAAAACGAGTTGAAGGTGAATATATAATTGAGCAACTGGGATTGTAATCTTGAGTTGTGACTTGGAAATGAAGCTTTAGATTGTCCATAGATGTGTATATATTGAATGTGCTCGTCTTTTTGGGGTTCAACATGTAATACTGATATCTGCTGTGAAAATGTTGAAGAGGTAAATGCTATTTGATTATTACAAATCCTGGATATTCTCGTTATGAGACTTTCTGCATTTTCTGACGGCGTCCATGACCTTTTGTTTTGGACCTTGTTATAAATTGAAATTTGAGTTATATTTATTGCATACGTTGATATTTTAATAATTATTAATAATTCTTAAATTATTGGATATAAATTCAACATACGTAAGATCAGTGTTTTCAATATCGTACCGTATTGACCGATAATACAGAACACCGGCCATTAGTACGTTACAATTACACATAGAATATTGGATTCGGTTACACCGATTTGTATTGGGGTCATACCATAAATACCGGAAAATACCAATCATAAAAAAATAAAAGGAAAAAAAGTTTTATTAATTTAAAAACATAAAATTTGAATTAGTAGTTAAGTATGTTTTATTTTTATCTCATTGAGAAGTTAAAATTAATGATTATGGTTATTTATTTATTTTTTTTACTTTTTTTTTTTTTTT